CTTTGTAATTATTATTATTAGATATGTCAAAAATACTATCGTGAATATTTTCAGTAATTGAGTCTTTTAATTTGACAATTATTTTCATTTATTTTTCATGTTGATATTAAAATATTATTAGTTGAAATGATATGCTAGAACCGAAGTTTATTAGTGACTTACACTTCTAATAATATAGAATGAAACTCAAATGTGAGATATGATCAAATATTTTGATCACTTCAATATCATATTGACCTAAAAATTGTTGATCTAAATACAGTTTGACTTTCAAAAAAAGGTAAAAGATAATTAAGCTCCAACTTCTTTTTGTTAATAAATGAGAAAAAGAGCACGTCATGTATGCTTGCACCTTCAAACATTTTTTGTTTCAGTAAGTAATAATGTTATCTAAGATTTTTAATATTTATTTCAGAAACTTCTTGTAGCAAGTAATGAAATTATATAGAAAACTTTTTGTTAATAGTCACATAAACTGCTCATGTTTTTATAGATTCCTTAATTTTTTGACAATATTTATTATAAGGATGAGAATTGTTATCATTCAAATATTTAGAGGATGTTTTTTTTCAAAAAAGATATTTTAAGGATGTACTTTAAATTTAGAGTATAGTTAAAAGAATGTACTTAGAGAGAATTCAAGGTTATATTTCACCCATGTGACAAAGATCATAAATATTAATTGATGTTTTAAGATTATCATGTAGTTAATCGATGAAATCAATAATTTCCATTAAATTTAAAAGTATTTTCAATACTTATATCTTTCTCGAATAGAATAGGAGATACTAAAATGAGAGTTACTCTTTCTAATTTTAAATTCTCTGTTGGTGAAAAATTGAACTTTCCCATGCTAATACCAACTACTAACACTGCTTTGACTGTGTGGGAACATATATATTATATTATAATAAATGATTCATTGCTTTTCTGTTGTGGCATGGAAAACATTCATGGTCTCAAGTGCTTTAAACCATTTTTTACTTTAAAAAACTTTCAAATTCATATCCTTAGAATACATATCTAAATCTTTTTCAAGTTTATAACATTTTAATTCTATGGAACTTACTCCTCAATCCTCATGCGTTGGAGCATACGATTTTTGTGTGATGTAAAATAAAATAAAAATGTCTCACGTTATTATAAGCTCTTAAAACACTACTATAATAATAAAGAAATCCTCTAGGAAAATAAATAGATTTAATAAAAAGTAGGTGCTTGTGAAATCTTTAATAGTCCTTTTCCTAAGTCAATTAATTTCATGTGCTCATTCCCACTGCTGCCCCTTTCCCCTCTTTGTATTTCTCTATTTACTCCCTCTCTCCGTCCATTAAAAGTTTTTATTATTCGATTTTGAGAAAAAATTATGATAATTAAAAGCGAGGAAAAATAGTACATTATGTAAATTAACTTCAAGCGCCACATATCAGTTCCTTTTAATTGTTTTATGAACATGAGGACGCAGTGACATTAGAAAAGAAGATTAAAGTCAAATAAATAAAATGATAATTAAAACTTTGAAAATGTAATGAAACCCCAATTATTATTATTATATTCAAATTATTTTTTCTTAAGATACAGTGATAATGAATGACCAGAAGTAGGTATGCCATTGAGTGAATGGAAACACAAAGTTACGTCTTAACTCATTTTTAACGTGGCCAAATATATTGTAAAGTTTTTTGTTTTTTTTTTGTTGTGAAGAATATAAATATTATAAAGCTTGTCACGTGAGATTTGGACTTTAATTCACACGAACGCGATTCTTCTAATTTCAAAGATCCCGCGTACACTAATGTTGGAGTTGCCACTTTACTGTACTATTTTAAAATACGAATTAATTTTTTTTATTGTTTATTAATAATAGTTGATTGATTTAACGATTTTGATAATGATTTGATTTTTTTAATATTGAGTTACCGATAAGTGGATAGTAAAATAATACATTATATTTATATTGTTTAGTACATAAAGTTCTTTAACTTATAGTTTAGTTTAATAGTTTTATCTTTTATTGTCTTAAACTTTTGATTATTTCACAAGATGTCACTATTTGTTTTTGAGTAATATGTAATATTTGTCAACTCATATGTATAATTCATTTAGTTTGTCACTTTATTTATAAGTGATTTTTCAATCAATTTTTGTGTGTGAGTTTTAATAAATAAATCAATAATGATGAATCAAAATTTTAATGATTTTATAAGGGAAAATGCTCAAGTACCCCTCAACCTATACTTGAAATCTCATAGACACACTTATACTATACTAAGGTTCTATTACCTCCATGAACTTATTTTATAAGTAATTTTTAACCCCTTTTTAGCTTACGTGGCAATAGTTTGAGAAAAAAGTCAACCAACGTTGGGCCCACAAGATAGTGCCACGTTGACTGAAAAGGGGTAGAAAATTATTAATAAAATAAATTCAGAAGGTAATAAGATCTTAGTATAGTATAAATGTGTCTCTGAAATTTCGGACATAGATTGAGAGGATAATTGTGCATTATCCCTTTAATGATATAAACAGGTCTAAAAATCGAATATTGATGAATCAAAACAATACACAATCCTACTTGAACCTTCAATTTTCTATTTTAGCAGCGAACAATATTCCAAATTGACACTTTTGACTGTTTTAATTTTTAAATAGTGATGAAAAATTGTCAAAAGACCGACAAAAAGGAAATATCTTTATGGGGGTAAACTTGATACGGAAATGAATATATAGCATGTAACTCAATCTCAAAATACGTCAAAAATCTAACTTATGTGGTGTGATTATATAATATAGAGAGGTCAAAATAAAAACTTTTGGTATGAAAAATGAATATAGCACGTATTTCAACTTCAAAATCAAGACTTATGTGATATGCTCTTTTAATATATAATACAAAAAAAAATTAACATTTTCCATTGTTGAATTTAGTAAATATTCCTTTTATCTATTATTAATTGTTATATTTTTTATTTTTTAAGTTGAACTATAAAAATTTTAACTGACATTTTACGATATATTTTTTTATCATATTGATATGCACAAAATTGCAATATATAGTGTTTTTTGTATAGTTTTTGAATATTTAGATTTTTTATTTAAAATATCGAATTAATGTAATCTAATATAACTTTGAAAATTAGTGAATTAATTTTTAAAAAAACACAATATAACATATAAAAATGAACAGAGGGAATAGATATTAAGCGTAACTCAATCACTAATTCATATGGTAAAAATTTGTCCAAAATACGTTAAAAATAAAAATTGCAATAATTTTTCAGGGTACTACTCTCTCTATTAGTGAGAAAATGGGTAATCTATATCTAAGTCATTATCCATTAATTACCTAGAGATTAGATCTTAGACATGCCAAACTTATCTAAATTAGGTAATGCTTATGAGAATAATTAATCAATGGTACGACATGATTTATTCCTTTGATCATTTGAATTCCGTAAAGGATATGATTTTGAAATTTGACCCACCTTTAGTTGGGATGGTTCGATGAATGTTAGTGAGTAGTAAAAGTGGCAAGAAAAAACCATTATTGTTTCATTTAATATTTATATTATGGTGTCATTTCAAAACATGATGATGGTTATGAGTTTGGTGCTTCTCTTTTATGATCTCCTTGGTCATGTCACACCCCAATTAATACCATACTAGCATTCTCATAACCTTGATACTTTAATTTTTCTATCCAACAATAATTGCCGGCTATTTAATTGACATATTCTTTAAGAAATTATAAATTAAAGGATAGTTTTACTATATCACTTTTTAAATATAATTAATATTATATTTTGAAAAATATAATTAAAAAATGATTGTAATTAATAATAAGAATAAATTATAATTTATGAACTAAATATAAAATTATATAAATTTTATAAAATAAATAAATATTATTAAATATTTATTTTTAATATAATGAACAAATATTATTGGATCCAGGAGTGATAATTAAAAAGGGCATCTACATGAGATTGACAACAAGTCATATTTTCATACCACACGCAATCATATGCCCTCCCTTAATTCAAGGCCACATCATCACTTCTCCATATTCTCTTCTCTTTGCTTCTTTTTTTGTTAAATAAAAAATGGGGCAATTTCATTAATTAATCATGTTCGTATATTTAGCTAGGGTCATTGATAATTTAAAGGTTTAAGGATTCGTTTGGTGTGAATGAGATTAATTATGATAGGATAAATTATGTTAAAATTAGTTTTTATTGAGTGTTTGATTTGTTATAAAGAAAAATAATAAATCTTAAGAACTATATATATGTTTACAAAAATACGAGTGATGAATGTGAAAAGTATTGTATAAAAAGTGTTTAAAAGGATAACTTTGTCATTTAGTTATTTTATTTCGAGATAAGTTATTTCGAAATTACTATATCATTCAAGAAAAGAAATTATCTATCCCAATACGAATTATTAATTTCGAGATAAGTTATCCCAAACTTGCAAAGCAAACAACAAATTCAGTGAAAATATAATCTAATCTCAAGACTATTTGAAGTCATCCTTCGCATCAAACAATTCCTAACACATTAAGTTATTACCCCCCCTTTATAAAATTATTTTATCTCACATTATAGATGGCTAGAAACAACAATTTAATAAAATATATTAAAGTAGCTAATTAATTATTAAATATAAATAATAGAATAGCTAATCACATTATCATCACACTTTATGAAATATTTTATTTTTATCTATCTCATCCTACGTAGCAGAAGAATAGTCTTTTGTCAGCTACTTCATTATGAAACCCTCTTTGGCATGACCATTTTGATAAGTAGAACAACATATTCGAAATAAAATAATAGTACACACTAGAAAACGTGTAAACAATCAAAGTTGAAGCATTTTTGTATTATAAGCAACTAAACAAGGGTAATTTGGTGAACAGAATCTCTATATATATACTCAACACGCAACTAAAATCATCGTCTCACCAAAATCCCCAATTTTCCTTTCAGCCTCCATTAATGGACCTCGAGGCTGTTCTTACCCTCTTCGATTCATGTTGGTTCAATCTCCAAATCCTTGAAAACCATTTAAATCCAACACGGAAAAACCCAGATGGCAAAATTCAAGAAAAACCAGCTGAAACTGTATTTGATTCAACAAAATTAGAAATCCAAATGGAGTCGCAAAGCGATGATTTGAGCTACAATTCAGATTCATTGTCGCCGGATTCAGTTCTCCCAGCAACCCATTTTCAATCGGATACTAAAAAGGCAGTACCGAAAAAAGCAAAGGGTAGAAGAAGGGAATTGAGGAGAAGAATAAAAAGGGGTCTTAGCAAGAGTATATCGGAGCTAGAATATGAAGAGCTAAAAGGGTTTATGGATCTTGGATTTGAATTCTCAGAAGAAGATGTAAATTCAAGTTTGATTGAACTTATTCCAGGTTTACAGAAATTACGTAAAAACAGGGATAGTGATGATGATCAACAAAAAGTGAATTTTTTTGAGAAATCTGATCAGTTAAGAGCCAGACCTTATCTTTCTGAAGCATGGGGAGTAATTGAAAAGAAAAGGAAAAAGAAGCCATTGATGAATTGGAAATTACCAGAAACAAGCAATGAAATTGACATTAAACATAGTCTCAAATGGTGGGCTCATACTGTTGCTTCCTCTGTTAAACAACACAACATAACCTAGAATTGAAATTTTCTCCATACCACCACCAACAACAACATATTTAGTAAAATTTAGAACGTTATATTTACATAGACTCTTTTTAGCTTCTTGACTCACATTGTTGAGCTTGAAGTTGCGATCCAAAAGTAAATTCCCTTTGTTCTAAAGAAAATAAAATTTGTATATTGGTAGTTGATTTTTGAAATTTGCATTGAACTATCGATGCAAGTTGTAATGTGTGGATAAAGTTGAAGTTAGATATGTGTCGAGAAACGACGAAGAATGAGTCCATCTTTAATAGTGTATATATTATAGTATTATTTTTCCTTAAGGAAATTGATCTCCAAGCTCGAGTCAAAAATATCTTTATTTTGTTTTATATATTTCGTTCACATAATTATATTATTTAATTTGATAAAATATTTAAATAAAAAAATAATTTAAATTTATGATCTAAAATAATTATTAGATGTTTGTATGATTATAAATAATTTTATTAATAATAAAAACAGAATTTTCAAGCTAAATTGTTTAGTTATTGTAAGGTAATATTATTTTAAATTAAAAATGAAACGACATTGGAGGGAATACTATTTGTTTGATAAGTCTTCCAAAGCCAAACCAGTAAATATTTTAGTAATAAATCCATATATATTATCTTGGTATGAGAAATCAACCCAGCGAAGTCATTTTTATGATTGGTTGGAACAAGTTATATGACATTAAAAGTAATAAAAATATTTTTTTTTCTAGTAAATAATAGAAAATTATTTGTTGGAAAATAACTCACAAAACATATACATCAGGAGACGAATCTTCAATGTTCAGCTTTTAGTGTTAAATTTTTTTAAAATAACAATTTCGAATACATTGAATAAATGAATTTTATTGTTTTAATCAAACTCAAGGTTATAAGTCTAGTCAATCAATAAAAAATTTATACAAGTATATTTTTAAGCATGTTATTTTCAAAATTAATAGGTAAAGTGTGAATTTTGGGCTAACAACAACTCCTTCATACCAAACATGACATAAAATATATTTGTCAATCTATTTTTCCATTCCAATACAATTTGACATACTCTTCCCTGTACCGTCCTTTTTCTTTTCTTGCCTCCAAATTATTATTATTATTATTATTGCATATATTATAAAGTTTCAAGAAGTGGTATGATCATCACAAATAACATTATTATATTATATAATAATAAACATTAATTGAGAACCACATATATCAAAGACCAAATATTAGAATGAAAAAACCGGCCAAAACATTTGTGAAGAGTGAGAGGCAAGAAACTAATATTAATTTCTTATCTTAAGAAATATAAATTAAGTAGAAGAGTGTCAACTATCATATAGTAATTAATTATGCGACTTATTTTGATTTCTCTCTTCTTTTTATATTATTTTTCCGTCCAAATTAGTTGAAGCATTTATTTTAACAAGACAAGAATAAAGTTTTGAAGTGCCACGTTTCACTTCATTTTAACTATATTTATCAACATGAGGAGGCAGTGTTCACTAGAAAAAGATTGACTAAAATCTAATTAAATATAATCAAATTATAAATTTTATATTTACAAAGATAACGGTCGGTAGGACCATAGGTTATAATGTTATATCATTCCCATTGCGTGTATGAAAACACGGAATTAATATCTAAACCAATAATTATTAAGATATATTGTTTGATTAACTAGTTTATCAATATAATAAATATATATCATATTAGTATGTATGTAGTGTATAATGATGCGTATTATAATTTATATGTTAGTAAAAAATACACATATATATATTATAGATTAGACGGACGAATGATTTTCATAAAAAATACACGTATATATTTTATAGATTAGACGGAAAAAACTTTAATCTAGATTTGTTACGTGACTAAACTACACTATTCAGTAATTAACAGCCACGTGCGTTTTGGTATTTGACACGTGAGGTTTTGGTATTTGACTTCCCATGATTATTGGTGTATAAAAATGATAGGTGGTTGTATTTTACTACACTACCCTTCACATGGCTTGAGAAGTATTTCTGAAAGGGAAATTAAAAATTGTTTTATGCAAAGAAAAGGAAAATTCGAAGTTTCTAATTTCAACATCAACACAAACACATTTAGTACTAATATTTTTTTGCACAAATTTGCCAATTTCCCTTCTTTTATTCCCTTTCCTTATTTTCTTTTATTCCTTTTCCCTTTTTTACAATTTAATTTTCACTAATAGAAGCTCTCAAATTCATTATAACGTACATAATGCACATTTTAAACATTTTGCATTTAGAATGTCTATTTGTATAGAAATAAGTAAGCCCTACGCAAAAAAGATTATTGATACATATCGTATATTGCGTCATTATCAATTACCTAAAGATTAATCTAAAATTATCTGAATTACCAGGATGTTAAGAAGTTCCATTATTGATTCTTGATTGGAAGTAAAGAATCATTAGGGTGTAGAGTAATAGAAAGTGAAATTTAACCTTTTTTTTGTGTGTATGTAGTTGGATTGATGCCCTTCAATGATTCGTTGTCTATGAGTAGTACAAGAGCATGAAAAAGTCATCATTGAATTTAAGGTGTAATTTCACTAACATGATGGTTTGAGTTTGGTGCTAGGCATGTGCGGAGGCGGAGTCAGAGTTATGATTTTAGAATAGAGGAGAAAAATAAAATAAAAATATTTTTTTGAGAAATTTTAATTGATAGTAAAATTTAAATTCACCAATTGATGTAAAAAGTATTTTTATCATATTTTTTATTATTAAGTTATCAATCAATATTCTTAAATTTTTTATTAATTAATATATATAAATTTTTATATAAATACAAAATTTACGAAAAAAACTAAACACGCCCTAGCTAACTCAACCTCCGGCCATAGGCCATGCCACACTCCAATACGTGAGGCCTCAATTTAGCCATGTTTCAGCATCATCGTGATCACAACTTTTGTGGTAATGGCATCCTATTGAGATTGACATTTCAGTCAGTATCGCACGCAATGATTTGCTTCTCCTTTTAAGCCATTATCATCATCCTCTATATTCCATTGTCTTGCCTTTAGGTAGACTCAGTATATCGATAAACTTTTAAATTTGTTTTTAGATTTCATTATATAATAAATTAAAAAAATATATATATTTATTATGTAGGCAAATAAATCATTTAAAATATATCTTTGTTTGTATTTATCTCAATAGATGTAAAATCTTGATCTGTTTTGACCAATATTGATATGAAGTATATAATTAAAGAAAATGATATATTTTATATAATTAACTTATTTTTGTAATAATCGTATAAGAACACAAGGAAAGTTGTTCTAAATTTGAAAGAGAAATGTCTAATAGAAATACTTTATCGTATATTTAAGTGAAATAAACAATTATTCACGTGTTAATATATTCTGCCTTTTTAATGCTTATTGTGGAGTCAAGTTAATTCGTATAAATATCAATTATTTTATTGGATACTTAATTAATTACTTCTTCTAACTCAAACTCAATATATGTGATAGCTTCTTTTTTTTTAAGTTAACTAAAAAAAGATGATTTTTGTATTTAGTATTAGTACTTTTACTATTAAGTTAAAACACATTTTTGCAAAAATTAATAGAAAATCGAGAATGACCAAAATCTGTACAAGATGATTCGTGATGATCAAGATACATACCAATACCAGACAGTTCATATACCGACACATAAATAAATTTAAGACCTTTTTAGAGAGATGATTAATTTTGAGCCATAAATTTTATTGATTTTCGATGTGCACTTAACAAATCCCAATTTAAAAGTAAAGAGCATGCAGTAACACGAAAGAAGATAAATGTGGAACTAAACCTGGAGATCTTACGTAATTTTGTCAACTAAAATAATTTTTGTGGAAAATTTTAAGTACAGTGACATTTTTCTAATTCTGATTACAATAATACTCCATCTGACTCTGCAAAACGTGTAAACAAATAAAGTTGAAGCTTTTTTGTAATATAAGGAATAAAGAAGGGTGTTTTGGTCACCAGAATCAATATATATATTTACCCACACACAACTTCAGTTTTCCATAAAAACAAAAAAAATAAAAGTTGTGTGTTTAATAATTTCCAAGTTTCTTTCAGCCATTAATGGACCTTGAAGCTGTTCTTACCCACTTCGATTCATGCTGGTTTAATCTCGAAATTCTCAATAATCATTCAAATTCAACCCCTTTTTCGAATTACCAGAAAAACCCAGATGACAAAATTCAAGAAAATTTAACAGAATCTGTATATGATTCACCAAATTTAGAAATCAAAACAGAGTCACAGAGTGATGATTTGAGCTACGATTCGGATTCTGTTTCACCAGATACAGTTCTACCAGTAACCCATTTTCAACCATTCTGTAAAAATGCAGAATCAAAGAAAGTAAAAGGTAGAAGAAGAAGAAGAGAAAAGTGTCTTGGCAAGAGCTTATCGGAGCTAGAATATGAAGAGCTAAAAGGGTTTATGGATCTTGGATATGAATTCTCAGAAGATGATGTAAATTCAAGTTTGGTTGAGATTCTTCCAGGTTTACAGAAATTAAGCAAAAACAGGGACAATGATCAAAAACTGAATTTTGTAGAGAAATCTGATGAGTTAAGAGCAAGACCTTATCTTTCTGAAGCATGGGAAGTTGTTGAAAAGAAGAAGAGAATGAATCCATTGATGAATTGGAAGGTACCAGTCATGAGCAATGAAATTGACCTCAAACATAATCTCAAATTATGGGCTCATACTGTTGCTTCCACAGTAAAAGCATAAACTTCTAATCTTTGTAAATTTTACTCCTTTTTTTTCCTCTACAAAATGTATAAGAAGAGTAAATTTAGCCTCTTGATCTTCTTTTTTTTCTGCTTCTTGACTCACATTGTTGAGCTTCGAGTTGCAGTGTTATGTATATTAAACTAGGAATGGGGCAAACACCTTTTCTTCATAAAAGTATGAGAAAATTATATTTGTTTGAGTTTTAAAACAGTGGCGAAC